ATTACATTATTAACATGTATTTTAAATATATAGAATAGAAAAATCCTTTAAAATATATGATTAAAAATTAGTGAAGAATTTTTTTTAAAAAAATTCATACCTGCATCTATTGATTTTAACTCTTTTCTTTTAGTACTTTGTTAATTAATTAAACTAATGCATCGTTAACTTCAATGCCCTTCAACATTTAATTTAGCGCTATTATATAATAATATATTCCTCACATTAATAGAATTAAAATCACTATTACTTTGAGTATGGATATCAACTTAAATTCTTAAAACTAATGAATATCAACTCAATTCGAAGGAGTACTCATCAATTATTTTGCTTCTGAAAGTTGGAGCATGTATATTAGTAGTGAGAAGTGTGACACTTATAGTTGTGAATAATTTTTTCTATATATATTAAATGCTTAATTGCTTGACATAATAAAATTTTAAATTACTAATTTTAACTCTAAATAAAAAATTGTGAATTAATAAATACTACTTCAACTAATTTTTGTCAACGACCTAAATAACTCAGTGATAATTTTTTTAATTAAAAATAAGAAGTTTTGAGTTCAAATCACATGATACGTGGATAGGGTGAGATAAGAGATAAGAGATAAGAGATGATTGCCTCTCGTTGTACAATCAATATAAAAAAAAAAAATTCAACTAACTTTTTTGTTGGTGAAAATAACTAAAAATAATAGTAGATCAGATGACCATCCCAAAGGAGAGGAAAAAATATCATAAATTATGGGTTGGTGTTGAAAACAAAATACATCAAAATTTGGGGAAATTTTTTTTGAAAATATTATGCTTGAAAAGATGAACTTTTACAACAACTACTACTTCTCTTCTCTGTCTTTGAATTCCCCCATTCCCCACTCTCCATTTTGACCAAAAATTTAAGAGAAAACAATTTCACATTTAACCATATGATGCACCAAACCAATGACCAATGGCCAATGGCTCAGCTCACCCACCAAAACGGCGACCTCAATGCGACCGCACGTGAGGCCATTTATTTGTTTGTTGGGACATGGGTCCCACTCCTCACGTGTGGCTGTTTTTTTCTTTGGGGGTAATTGACACTTTGACATCTAAAAATG